TTTCTTCCTGTTAAAAGGGAGTTTTTCCTTCCCACTGTCGCCAAGTGCTTGCTCATAGGGGGCCATATGATTGTTGGGTTTTTCTCTGTATGTATTATTGTAGGGTCTACCTTACAATATAAAGCGCCTTGAGGCAACTGTAGAGATGTAGAAATGAAATTATGAATTATTCGATTATAAATTGAATGAAAATAACCTTAGCTACCTTATGTGTCACATTGGAAGTAGCTGTTTTCTGTGTGATTCTATGTGCAAACCCTACAACACCTATCATCCATGTTAAGTAAAATTATTCTTTCACAATTAAAAAAAAAAAAAATTCATATTCATTAAAATTTGTCATACCGAGCCTTTAAGTACTGCTGCTGCTATTTATTTGATTGTTGACCTAGAAATTTCTAGATCAGCGGTCACTAACAAGGGGGGGGGGCACAGTCTGGATCTGGATCCACAAGCTGTCCTATACGGACCCATACCTACAACCGAAACCGACGGTTATGGTTTAATACCTAAAGTGGGGCTTCTAATTTAACTGGTGCAGCTTTTCTGGTGTTTATTGTTGTGGTTCAGTGGCTGCCGAATTGCACAGAAGAATTGGATGCGAGTTAAGCACTTCACTCAGCCAATCAAATTTGTGCATTCGAGACGGTACATACTGGACTCCACTGTGCTAACAGCTGAGTTATTAAGTTACACATGTAACAACAGCAGAAAGAAGAAAGATGACGATATATGAAAAAGAAAAGTTAGAAATACAAACAACTGCGTCAGACAAAGCCAAAACAAAAAAGAGACCAGTGACATGGAGAAAAAAGGAAAAAGTAAGGAACAAATGGTGCTGTGCAAAAAGAAAAATGGAAAGTGATAACAGGGCAATGGGTGAATGCTGGGCCAGATGCAATTTATTGATCTCTAAGACGATGTGGTCCAAAAGCTAAGATTTACACGTGTGTCCAATGATTTGCGTGTAACTTCTGAGGACTCACACGCACATGCTTCAGTCCACACACAAATATGAAGCAGTTGGGGAAAAATGATTTTAAAAGCTAATTAGCTTAAGTGATAGAATTTGGAGCAATTACAAAATATTCAAGCTTGCGCTTTGGTGCTACTCCAACTTGTGACACAAGTAGGTTAAAAAGAAATACTAAAGATTCAGTTTTCCATGTCTTCTCTTGCGTTCACAGATAATATGAAACCACTGACACGCAGTTCCAGTTATGAATTCCTGACAGATTTCAGTAAGTCTGTGTAAAATGTATAATAATGTGTGATGGAGGTGTACCAGGTAAAGTGTTTTAGTGTTGGTGGTGAAACGACTGTGGAATGAAATACATGCATTTACTTCAAGTTTTATTGATTTTAATTTCTTAATTTGAGGGGAGAAATAACTTTTCAATTAACACGCAATATTTAAATTTAATTTAAGTCAATTACTTTTCTGATTCTCTTTAGTTGTGTGGAAATAAGTAAATAATTAAATAAATAAAATAAGGAAATAATAAGGAAATAATTTACTTTTCTTCCCAGTGTCCGAGCTGAGGGTGGTTCTGCTAGGGAACAGCTGGTCAGAGATGAGAGCAGTGGGGAACATGATACTGAGACAGGAGAAGTTCTGTACTGAAAGAGCAGCAGACTGCTGTGTGGAATTCAGTACACCCTTTGAGCAAAAACAAATAGTTGTCATTAACACACCAGACCTGCTGCTCACCAAAATCTCTCAGGACAAACTGAAGGAACATGTAGAAACCTGTGTGAGGCTCTCTGCTCCTGGACCTCATGTGTTCCTGCTGGTTCTACAACCTGAAAACTTCACTGAGGAGCAAAAACAGAGACTCTGCAGAGTCCTTCAACTGTTCAGTGATCGATCATTTGACCATTCACTAATTTTCATGTCAACATCCAGAGAGGAGAGCTCATTTGAAAACTGTGTGACTCATCCACCGCTAAAAGAAATGATCAGAATGTGCAGATACAGATACCTGTGGCAGAAGAGCTTTGAACATTCAGAGCTGTTAACACGTTTGGTTCAAACAGCAAAGGAGATAAATGAAGATCGTCTGAGCTGTGATGTATTTGAGGATGAGGATGGCGGATTATTCATGAGACCAAAGTGTGTTTTAAACCTGGTTCTGTGTGGGAGGAGAGGAGCAGGGAAGACGTCAGCAGCCAAGGCCATTTTAGGTCAGACTGAGCTTCATTCAGCCTCCAACTCATCAGAGTGTGTTAAACATCAGGGAGAGGTGTGTGGACGTTGGGTTTCCCTGGTGGAGCTGCCTGCCTTGTATGGAAAACCTCAGGAGGCAGTGA